AGCCACCAATTGCGCAAGATCCCAGCCCGTCTGTGGAGGATATGGTGAATGCATTCGCGGCTAACACGTTGAAATTTCGGCAAGAGTTCTGTGAGCCATTAATTGAAAGAGATCCTGGTCCATCGCTCGAGGATATGATGATGGAGTTGACGGCTCACACCCTTAACTTTCAGCAAAGCGTTGAGGCTAGCATCAAGAGCCAAGAACTGAGCATCAAGAACCAAGAGGAGAGCATCGAGAACCATGGACTGCGCATAAGGAATTTACAAGTTCATATGAGCCAATTGGTGGAACAAATGGACCGACTAGTGTATCGGCTCGAAACAAGTCCAATGAGTTCGAGCATCACCCATTCGTGCTGTGAGGATCTCGAGGAACCTGAAGAGTGCACATACGAGCCGGAGAACCAAAAAATCACTAATATAGAGAAAGCAGAGTCGAAGCAGCAGAGTACTGGGGTACCCCGTACTCGACTTGCTGGACCCAGTACTCGACCTGCTGAAGCCGAAAAGAGAACCGTTCTTCCCGCTCTTGTGCCGATAGAAGCTGAACCTTGTCTTGTCTCATCCAATATGAAATGGGTGTTGAGTAAAGATGCACTAAAGCATGTCTTGAGCCTTAATATCCAGCCCCTTGAGACGAACGAGCCGAACGAAAGGTGCAAATGGGAGTTTAATGAGACGATGGCCGTGATTGAGCACGGGCTGCTACTTATTTTTGAGGGACCAGCTCCATGGAGGAAAGATCCGGTGAAGCATCCAACGCCGGAAAGAGGGAATTTCAATAAGCATGGGGCCGTGAGATTGATGCCTCCCTTGAGGCCACCTCCGAAGCCGCCATGGACCCTTTGATGAAAAGAAAGTAATAAGTCGGGCCAACGACAATAAAAAGAGGCGCTTGTTGGGAGGCAACCCAATGTTGTGCATGGTTTGGAGCCATCCTCTACGTTGACTAAGGTGAACTCGTTTCTTTTATCTCTGTTTTTGTTCTTTTATGATATTTGGGCGTCAATGATATATGCAAACTCTAAGTTTGGGGAGGTGGTTTCTTGGTGAGCATTCATGTTTATTATGTGATTATATTTTTTTTGCCCCTTAGAGTTTGAGTCTTAGATTAATTGCATGATATATGTTAGTCTTGTGTGTGCGTGGGATTGCATATACGTGGAATTTTGCGATGATGACATGAGAGTCGGTTTGGATTTATTGTGCTAGTTTAAATGGCTTGAGTTAAT